CCCACGGGGAGAAGTTGGTATTAGAAACATAGAATAAAAGCGATGAAAGATGAAAAGAGAGAATCAACAGGAAGAGGAGATCTTATCCAATAAAAAGCAAAAGGAAAAAAAAAAAAAAAAAAGCAAGGAAGAAAGTCGGAAACAGATGCAGGCAGAAACCACGGTTCCTAAATGTAGTCATATCATGGATATGTACAGTACATCAGACACACAACGATAGAAAAGAACATCATACTCGGTCGCCGTCCTCGTCCGACCCACCATGACGCCGATGCTGGGGCCGATGGTGGTGGTGGTGGTGGTGGTGGTGGTGGTGGTGCTGGTGCTCATTGACCTTCCCCGCCATCTTTTTCCCAACCTCGTAGCTGGAGATCATAATGGCACACGCAGGCGCAACTTTGAGACACCGTGCCGCCCAGCCGCGGAAAAGACCCGATACCCCTTCAACTTTGAGGATGTGCAGGAGGAAGCGGGGCGTGGATAATTGCTCCGGGTGGATATGAGACAAAGATGATGCTGACAATGGCGACGAGGATGAGGATGCAGATGAAAATTTGGAGAAAGAGGAAGTGGTGAAGGAGGTGCTGGCGGTTGTGAGTTTTGTTTGTGTTGCCGGTGCTGATTTGGAGCCCGGCTCGTCGCCACAGTGTAGGAATACCTGTTGGCGAGTCTTGCCAACGTCAAAGGGGGTAGTGATGAGGGCTGCGAGGGCGCCAGATGTGGCGCCTGCGATGAAGCTGTCGAGGAATGTCATGGTGTGGTCTTGGTGTGGGTCCGAAGGCGCGGCGTGTCGACCGCCGTGGAGGTGCTGATGAGTGTCTGCGGCGAAAGCGGCTGGAATCGTTTTCAATCGCAGATCGGTGAGGATGGCCTTCACGGTTTCATATCCCCACCAGTACAAGGCGGAGAAAGGCACGTCGCGCCACATGGTAAGGGTGAGCCCCCGCCATAGTGAGCTATAACCCTGCGTCTGCGTCATTTGATGTAGCTGGCGGAGCGTGGCTTTGAAGTGGTTCGTTCCCGTCCCCGACGTGGCTTGCAATCGTGTCCGAAACATTTCAATCGGACTTATTACCGACGCGGCCGCTATCCTTGCTATCCCGCCTGCAGCGAGCGGAGCGTACGTGTCATTGAAGGCTCTATTGATAGGACTTATTTTATCGAAGCGTAACCAGTCGTAGCCGGTGAAATAAATAACGTTTGCCGGGATGGCCATCACTAGGGTTGGACTAAGGCCCCGCCATAGTGACAATGCGCCTTCATTCCTGGCAATTTTGCGAAGTCCGTCGAAGGTGGAGGTGAATGTCCTTCGCTGAGTTTTCCTCAACTGCACAGCCAGCAGCCCTATCAATAGGCGGACTACTGAGTGCGGCACCATTTGGTTCCCACCATGCAAAATTGGGGCATTGTTCCCAACCCAGAACACTTTCTCGACAGCAGGTCGTCACATCCCAGGTTATGAGGAAGCCCTCCGAAAAGAGTGAGCGGGGAATAATTATCCCGGCGAAGCCC